TACATCCAGTATTCTTAGGTTTAGTTACACAGTTAATGAGGAGGTTGAGAGTAACATACAGTTTGTGTACATCCAGTATTCTTAGGTTTAGTTACACAGTTAATGAGGAGGTTGAGAGTAACATACAGTTCGTGTACATCCAGTATTTTTAGGTTTAGTTACACAGTTAATGAGGAGGTTGAGAGTAACATACAGTTCGTGTACATCCAGTATTTTTAGGTTTAGTTACACAGTTAATGAGGAGGTTGAGTGTAACATACAGTTCGTGTACATCCAGTATTTTTAGGTTTAGTTACACAGTTAATGAGGAAGTTGAGAGTAACATACAGTTCGTGTACATCCAGTATTTTTAACTGTGTAATTAAACCTCCTCATTAACTGTGTAATTAAACCTAGAATACTGGATGTACACGAACTGTATGTTACACTCAACCTCCTCATTAACTGTGTAATTAAACCTAAAAATACTGGATGTACACGAACTGTATGTTACACTCAACCTCCTCATTTTGTGTACAGATAAATGTACATATTGTAGAATAACATGGGTTTCTTTATTATAGTTACACTGTTACAGAACAATAATGTTTGTTGTGTACAGATAAATGTACATATTGTACATTAACTTGGGTTTCTTTAGTAACAGTGTTACAGAACAATAATGTTTGTTGTGTACAGATAAATGTACATAGTGTAGAAATACAATAACCTCTTTATTGTGTTAACATGTCGTTAATTTTGTAGATAAAGTATCGTTATTTGAAGAGATTAGTAATTATTTTAATGCAATAATAACGAAAAGATTACAGAAAGCATAATAGCAGCTAAGAAATTTTGTTTGGTTTTGGTATATAGTCACCACAAGTAACCAAAAATACCTCCTCATTAACTGTGTAACTAAATTTAAGAATACTGGATGTACACGAACTGTATGTTACTCTCAACCTCCTCATTAACTGTGTAATTAAACCTAAAAATACTGGATGTACACGAACTGTATGTTACACTCAACCGTAAACTTTATTGTTCTGTAACACTGTTACTAAAGAAACCCAAGTTAATCTACAATATGTACATTTATCTGTACACAACAAACATCATTGTTCTGTAACAGTGTAACTATAATAAAGAAACCCATGTTATTCTACAATATGTACATTTATCTGTACACAACAAACATTATTGTTCTGTAACAGTGTAACTATAATAAAGAAGCCCATGTTAATCTACAATATGTACATTTATCTGTACACAACAAACATTATTGTTCTGTAACAGTGTAACTATAATAAAGAAGCCCATGTTAATCTACAATATGTAC